GATAAAATTCATAAAAATATGTATGTACATTCCAGCTTTCTTACCTATTGGGTGGGCTAACTGTAAGGTATGTATTCTATACTGTGAGGGATGTATACATTGGAAATTTTTGTGAAGGCAACACAGGTAGATAGCAAAGGGTCATCTTAGAGATAGCATTCTCTAAACCGAAACAAATATCTTGACTATAAGAGAAGTAGTAGAGACAGGAGTTTAAATGAATCAGCTCTGGAGACAGAGAGCCTGACTCTCTCATTTTTTACCAGTGTGACCATAGACAAGTTACTTAATCTCTTTGAGACTTGTTTTACTTATCTATAAAATGGGTTTAATGTCTAAAGAAGTTATGAGGATTAGATAACTATGCGTAAAGTACTTAGAACAGTCCATGGGGATGTCTGAGCATTTAATAAACTTAAATTATTATTTTTTTATTATGAAAGTAGTAAGTTTTTCTTCTACTCCACTGTAATGGTTTGATAAACTTTTATTTTAAGGGCTAGAGAAGTCCATAGAATAGCGAACAAGTGCCTAGAATCTTCATAGTGGCTATAAGTAGCCTGAGTCCTTCCTCCAAGTGTTTGGTGATGACTGGGAAGATTTATCAATACAAATACAATTTTTTCAAGCTCATTATAGCTTCCTTAAATAATCTTAAAGCTTCTTTTGTGGTTGCAGTTACCATACCTGTTTTCACAATTTATAATTTATAATTTTTCCCCTCCCTGAACTTCAGATTGTATATCTAAGTACTTGCTAGATTTCTCGTGACCTATCAAACTCAACAGATCCAAAGCTGAACTCATTATCACACTTTCAAACCTGGACTTTTCTTCTCATTTGCTTAATCTCAGATGTGAGGTAAGGGTCAGGGTTGATTCAGTGGACTAATTAACTGAGCTGATACTTATTGCTTCATATGTCTGTTACAGATTGGAAAGGATGACTTTGCAAAATAGAGAAGAGCATTCTTCAGGCAAGAGTAAATAAAAAGCTATACTTGCCATCTAAAATATTCAGTAAGTTAGTTCAAAAGGTTCCCTACTTAAAATTATGTCACCATCTGCCTAGCTACTAAAGCCATGAACCTGAGGTCATCTTATATTTCCTCTTTTCCCTCACCTTCTCATTATGCTCAGCCATATTTTGCTAATAAATCCCCCTGTTTTTGTATTTTTAATTTTTTTTATAAAGCTTAAAATACAGATAAGTTTCTCTTTCACTGCTTTTACTTCCTAGCTTCAGGTCTTCATTCCTCACTTGGCACATTTCAACTATTTCCAAGCCAATCTTTTACCCTTTGGCTTTGGCTCAAGTCCCTCCTACACATAGTTGCCCGTGACCTACTTGGAATTCAAATCTGATCAAGTTTCTACCCCTGATCAACTGGCCTGAATGGTTCTTCAAGGTCTGGAGTGTAAGTTAAAGGCTGCATGTGACCCTGCCCTCACTGCTCCAGCTTCCCTTACAGCCTGTTGACCTCATGCTTTGCTTCAATACTACTAAAATCTTTATGTATTTTACTTTCAGGTCATACTGTTTGAAGACTTTATAATTTTGCTTGTGACTTTAATAACTTTCTCTACATAATTCCAACTCATCCTTCAAAGATAATCTTGGGTGGCATTTCTGTAGGAAGCCCTCCCTGACAGGGGGATTTATTAGCTGAGCTAGGTGAGAGCTCCCTGAATGCCCAAGGGTCTTGCTACATACCTCATCCAGTTATCCACTGACTCTCTCCCTCCCACTAGGTGGAAAACATATCCAAGTCAGGAATTTGTCTAGTATTCTATCACTGTACTTGAATCATCCACAATATTTATATTTAGCAAGTAAGGCTGAAGAAAATGTATACTGTAAACGTTTAGGCAGAGGTAAATCTGAGGTTCTCAACAGAGATTGTATAAAGGAAACATCTGGGGGTCTTTTAAAAATACAAATGGCAATGACCCACCCCAGTCTATTTATTTATTTAAAAATTCTATTAAAGTATAGTTGGCATACACTATTAGATCAGTTTCAGGTGTACAACATTTGTGATTAGACATTTATAGACCTTACACCATGATCATCACACTAAGTCTAGTAACCATCTGTTACCATGCAAAGCTATCAAATAGTATTGACTGTATTCCCTTTCACCTTTTCACCTATCCCAAATCTCATCCCCTCTGGCAACCAGCAGTTTGTTCTCTGTTTCTGTAAGTCTTTTTGGTTCTAGTTCAGTTGTTTATGTGTGGTTTTTATTTTTGTTTTTTGGAATTCAATGCTTTATTTTTTAAATTTTTATTAAATATTTTAGGGTGACATTGGTTAATAAAAATATATAGGTTTCAGGTGTACAATGTTATAATACATCATCTGTATATCGTATTGTGTGTTCACTACCCAAAGTCAAGCCTCCTTCCATCACCATTTATCACCCCTTTACCCTCTTCCACCTCTCCCACCTCCCATTCCCTCTGGCAATCACTGTGCTGTTGTCTATGTCTCGTACTCAATGGGGAAAAACTAAAAACATTTCCACACCAGGAATAAGATTCAAATGTCCACTTTTACCACTCTTACTAAACATAATACTGGAAGTCTTAGTCTTACTAATTAGACAAGAAAAAGTAAAAGGTATTCAAATTGGAAAGGAAAAAGTAAAACTCATTATTGGAGATGACATGATTCTGTATATGAAGAACCCTAAAAATTCCTCCAAAAAGTTACTAGAACTCATACACAAATTCAGTAAAGCAACGAGATACAAAATAAATATCCAGAAATCAGTTGCTTCTTTATACACCAATAAGGAACTATCTAAAAGGGAAACTAAGAAAAAATCCCATTCATAACTGCATCAAAAAAAAACCCCAACCACCTTGGAATAAATTTAACCAAGGATATGAAAGACCTGCACTCAGAAAATTATAAGACCCTGAAGAAAGAAATCGAAAAAGATACACATAAATGGGAGAATATACTGTGTTCATGCATAGTAAGAATTAACATTAAATACCCATACTACCCAAAGCAATCTAGAGATTTGATGCAATTCCTATCAAGATACTAATGGTAAATTTCAGAGAACTAGAATAAAAATTCCAAAAATTTATGTGAGACAACCAAAGACGTTGAATACCCATAGTAATCTTGATAAAGAAGAAAAAATTTGGAGGAATCATACTTTCTGATACCAAACTATACACAAGGCCATAGTTATCAAAATAGTATGGTACTGGCATAAAAATAGACATAGAGTTTAGGAACAGAATAGAAAGTCCAGAAATAAACCCACACCTTTGAACTGAATGGTCAATTAATATTCAATGAAGGAGGCAAGAACATACAATATGGGGTAAAGATAACCTATTCAATAACTGGTGCCCCCCCAAATGAAATTAGTCTACCTTTCTTACATAATATTTAAAGATTCTATTTTTAAAGAGAGGGGCAGGGAAGGAGAAAGAGAGGCATAGAAACATCATTGTGTGGTTGCTCTCATGTAACCCCCAGTGGGGACCTGGCCTGTAACCCAGGCATGTGCCCTAGACTGGGAATCCAACCAGCGACCCTGTGATTCACAGGCCTGTACTCAATCCACTGAGTTATGCCAGGCAGGGTTAAAATACTGATTTTAAAGAACGCATATACCCCTACGTTCATTGCAGCATTATTTACAACAGCCAAAATTGGGAAATAGCCCAAGTGCTCATCAGGAAGTGCGTGAATACAAAAGTGGTGGTACATTTGCCCAGAGAAACACTACATGGTCACCAAAAAAAAGAGAGAAGGAAATCTTACCTTTTGCAACAGCATGAATAGGCCTGGAGAGTATTAGGCTAAGTGAATTAAGCCAGTCAGAGAAATACAAATACCATACAATTTCACTTATATGTGGAATCTAATGAACAAAATAAATAAACAAAAAAATAGAAACAAACTCATAGATACAGAAAACAGACTGACAAATGTAAGGGAGTGGGGTGTTGGGGGGCTGGTTTAAAAAGGTGAAGGGTTAAGCAAAAAAAAAAACCCATCTATTTAAATCAGAAGCTCCAGAAGGTGGGTGCCTGGGCACATAGTCATTTAAAACGCAGGTGACAACACACAGGTGATTGTGGGGAGCAATTGGTTAGATTGCTCATCTGATTAGTGGGCAAGAATTTGGTGAATAATATGCTACAGACAGGTGAAAGTGCTGATGTGACAGGCACCTTTCATTCATGAAATTCCATGAGATAACTGCTTGAATTATGTTTATTATTAATTTCCTCAAGATACTCTTTGCATATTTTAAAGGTTGTTTTGTATGTAGATGCCCAGCCAGGAACCAGGCTGTGAGTCATTAGATAACATTAATGTTCTTGAAAGACGACCCACCACAAACACACATGTATTTACTTAAAATGTAAGAAAATATTAGCAAGGGGAGGGAAGGGAGATGTGGCTTTTAGGTGCTTTATATACTTACGTCATGATATTAGGGAAAGAAGTCTCAAATCTAAACACTTTCTGGTTTTCTTGAATTGCCACATTTGTAATATTCAAATATATATATTTTTTATGGTGATCATGATGAACAGAGGAATTTTTTTCTTTTACAATGTGTGTGTCTACTGTAACAGAGAGACAGCACTGCATGTTATAATTACCAGAACTTGGAATAAATTTTACATGGAATTAAGAAAGGTTGATTTTGGACATTAATATTTGTGGGAGAATTAGGTAAATCTTATGCATAATTTTCCCATTAAGAGTGCTTTCTAGGAAGACAGATAAGTTTTGAAAATTAACATAAAACAGTTAAAAATGGGGGTGGGGAAGGAACTCCTTTTACAATGATCAGCTGAGTGTTGAGAGAAAAAACCTAGAGTCTCAAAACTAATATTCAAACTCTCAGTCTGTTTGATTAAAAAAAGTTTAATGAGCTGTAAAATAAATACACTTCCATTAAATAATAAATAAATTATTTACAACGTGAAAAAATACTTTTTTCTCTCCATGCATCTTTATGTACAGAAATAAGACTTAGCATAAAAACTGACAATTGAAAGTTTAAAACCATCAGCACAAGAAAGTTCTGTTTCCTTCCGACCCACTGAAAGGCAGAGCCAGCTCATCACTCGTGGTTGGGACTTGAGAATGACGTTGATCTGATTCCTGTTCAAACACAAAGTCAAGTGTTAGAAAGACGCTCGATTCCAACATAGCTTTAAAAAAATGTCAAAGGATCAGAATTCCTGTCCAATTTCCTTTTCTAAGCTGTCTTATGAAAAATACTAGAAGGTACTTTCAGGGACAAACTATTCCTTTGACGTGAATCCCTTTTTCACACCTCCTTTGGTGGCACTCCTGCCTTATTAGGTAGGAGACTGCGTACACTTAAACCTGTCTCATAAAAAAAGGAAAAGAAAAGCAACAACAGCCATGATAAATGGTTTCCCTCACCAAATCTATGCAGTGGACATAATTAAAAACAAAGATTAAGTAGCTCAGTGCATTTATGTTATACAGTTAATTTAAGATAATTAGTACCGAGGGCATAATAATAGTAGCTACCAGTTAATAGGCAGCCACTATGTGCCAACACAGCATATTCCTTTCCCTAAACTCATCTGCAACCTACTTGGGAGAAGGTAGAAGAGGGTAAAGTGGGGGATAAATGGTGATGGAAGGAGACGTGACTTGTGGTGGTGAGTACACAATACAATATTCATATTGTGTATTATAGAATTGGGTACCTGAAATCTATATAATTTAATTAACCAGTGTCACCCCAATAAATTTTATAAAAGTAAAAAAAGTCTCAGTTGGTACCAAGTAACCAAACCTCCACCCTTATTCATTTGGTTGCCTTAGCTTCAGCACATTAAGCCCATACATTGATAAGAGTTCCTGCAATAAGTACCAAGTATAGCATCGGCATGGGAAACAACCCATTTTGTGAATTATTGAGCTAGTTCTGTAATAGGCTCACTGTGTAATACCCGCACTCAACCAATGCTAGAGAGGTTCCCTAATCATCTAGAATGTTAATTAAAAATGGAAATACTGATTTAGTCAATTTAGGATTTGGCTTAGGAAGAGGCATTTTTAATAAGCACCTCAAGAAATTCTTAAACCCACTGAAGGAAGAAAGTCAATGCTCGAAAATGTTACACCTTTTCCTGAATGAGGAAATAAGAGTTCCCTCCTCTGACTGACTTTAAGTATGTCCTAGAGCCCATCCCCCTCTAGAAGTTTGCTTCATTAGTTATTAGTTTTGATTGACTAGTTTTCAATCAAATATCCCAGTTCATACCTTCTCACTTTCTCCTTACCAACATGTTCATCTCTCCCTTTTTACAAAAAATTTAAAATATAAACTACAATATATACTCTATCCAAGCTTTTATAATTTTGCACTGCCTTCTCCCTTCCTACTCACTTTCTTTAAAAGGATATTCAACCTGATGTCTCCACTTCACATTTGTAATGCAAATACTGACTTCGGGGGGCCCTCCTGTGAACGGAACCTACCATTTCAACCTAATCTCCTCCATCACCCATTCGAGCTGGCTATTTGTCACAAGTTTCTAAATTAATTTAGTGCCTTTCATTGTAGTAATCTTCCTCTCATTTCTAATTGTCCGTCCCAATCTCATCAGTCTCTTCAGGCTCACTTCCAATACCGCTCTCTATTTCCATTCTTTCCTGCTCTCTAAATGCTTCCTACTGGATTCCTCTTACCCTCCATTAGAAATTTCTTTTTATACCATTGATTCCTTTTCTTTCTTTTTTCCTTAAAATTTTAATAGTTTATTTTTATTGTAATTTTTACTATTACCATTTATCCCCCTTACACTCTCTTCTACCTCTACCTACCCTTCCCCCCATTCTCCACACTATTGTCCGTGTCCATGAACTCTTTTTCTTTTTTGCTTGGTCCCTCCACCCCCAATTTCTCCAGAGCTGTCAGTCTGCTCTCTATCTATGAATCTGTCTCTAGTTTGCTTGTTAGTTCAGTTTGTTCCTTAAATAACCCATGAGTGAAGTCATATGGTATTTGTCTTTCTCTCACTGGCTTATTTCACTCAGCATAATGTTCTCCAGGTCCATCCATGCTGTTGCAAAGGGTAACACTTTCTTCTTTTTGTGGCCAAGTAATATTCCATTGTGTAAATATATCATAGCTTTTCATTAATTGAGGTGACATTGGTAAATAAAATTCTATAGGCTTCAAGTCTACAGTTCTATTACATATCATCCGTATACTGCATTATGTGCCCACCACCCAAAGTCAAGTCTTCTGTCCCCCTTAACTACCCTTCTGCCTCCTTTTGCTCTGGTAACCACCAGACTTTCATCTGCATCTATAAGTTTTTATTTATTTATTTTGTTTGTCATTTATTGCTTTCAGTTTTATATTCCACATATGAGTGAAATCACAGAGTTCTGGACTTTTTCTTAGTTTGCTTAGCATGATATTTTTAAGATGCAAAGAAGATGTGGTACATAGATACAATGGAATGCTACTCGGTCATAACTAAAGATGAAATACTGTCCTTGTGATAACCATTGGTTCCTTCCTTATGAAACACATTTTCTTTCACCTAGTATTCTGGTTCCTTACCCTATTGTCTGTCTCCTAAACACTACGTTCTTTGAGAAGGGGATCCATGTCTCCCAAATCTTTATATCCCATACAATATTAAGGACAGAGCTCTTTTTCAATGCTGAACTTTATCTCATGCTCAAATAATAACACTGTAATGGAGCCAATGTTCACAGTATACCCCAAATTAAGAATGTTTACTTTCCTTATTTTTCATAATAAATGCTATATTTTCCAAAAGTATAGAATATGATCTAAACATATCTTTTAAAACACAAACCTGTAATATTATCTTCATTTATGCTATGGCATGTGCATTTCCATTTTCCTGTCGAAGTTGCTTCTGTTCTTCAGCTTCTCCTTCATATTTCCTGAAGTTTCGTTTTCGAAGGCTTCAGAAAACAAAATATTCTACTGTCATCAAAGTCTTAATTATCCATACATTAATTGGGGTTTTCATGAGTACCAAGAATTTCCTTCTTGTGATTCCTTATAAACCATTACACAATATACTCTATACCAAACCAAAACCTAAACCAAACTATCAAATACTACCAATGTTATTTTTAATGGGATGTTTATAATGACTTTATGTAAACATATTTCCAGATAACTAATATTTAAATAAATGTGCCTTGAGATACAAATCTTCAGAAAGCATGAAACAAATCAATATGAGTTAGTTTTCAAACTTTAGCACCATTGCCATGCACAGATGGAGGAAGAAGATAATGTAGTTTTACCACAGAAAGACTTTATGCTTGAATAAAGTAATTTAAATGATTAATATTTATTTATACAGGCTTACAAAACAAGTTGGGTTTTATTTATTTCTAAATATAATAAATTGCTCATTCTATTTATTGGTACTTTATTATTTTTTAAAGTTTTTTTAAAAATTCTTTTTTTAAAGATTTTATTTATTTATCTTTAGAGGGGAAGGGAAGGAGAGAAGGAGAGAAATATCAATGTATGGTTGCCTCTTGTGTGTCCCCTGCTGGGAACTGGCCTGCAACCCAGGCATGTGCCCTGACTGGGAATTAAACCTCAATCCTTTGGTTCACAGGCCCACACTCAATCCACTGAGCTACACCAGCCAGGGCTATTTATTGGTACTTTATATTAAAAAACTCAATGGTTTAAAATGTGTTGATGTAGAAACAACTCTATTTTTAGTAGATCTTAAATTCAATGACTAAATGTTATTATTGAAATCATAAGATTTTTTTGTTGTGGTGTTTGAGAAAAATTCACTCCAATTATATAAAAAATTCCCAGCAATTGGGCTTAGGCCAGTGTTTGTTATGTATTTCAAATATGAGGAGAACAGGGGAGAAAAGTCCCTGTTCAGTTTTAAGAGTGCCAGCATGATAAAGTTTTTCCATGTTTTGCCAAAGGATTATTAAATATTTCAACTTGAATAATTGCAGGCTTAAATAATTACTTCAAAACATCTTCTTTAAATGGCAACTTTTTCCTTCTATCCTTCTATATGAATAATAATGGTTTGTCTGAAGATATCTTTTCTAAACACATCTGCATATTTAACATGAGGTACTAAAAGATCAAAATCATTTCTAGGGTGTGCAAAACAAATTTAAACCACAGATCAAACTTTATGTGCATCGTAAAACAATTTTATGTCCCATTTTATTGTTATCTGATCTATATTTAGAATAATAGTAAACAAAGGCAGAAGATATCCCCTTATTTCCTGAATGGCAAGAGTGGTTGATCATGTACACAGTCCAGTTGTTAAAGCAGTTTACCAAGACCTAAAATTAGAATAATGAGTTTATTGCTTTTCCCAAGCTCTAGTAGCACATGAGTCATTATAGTGCCATTCACACCCTCCCCCAGCTTCCTGAATTCACTGACTTCTTTTTTGACACACAATGCCATTTTGACATACCCACCAGTGTCTACAAGCTGAAACAATCTCATTCTAACATCCATTGTCATGAAGTGAAGTATGTGACCTGTTATTGTGAGCACAGGGAAGATATTGTAGAAGTGAAACAGTAATAGAATTGTCCCTGCTTCCTACACCATACCAAGATACCCTATGGAGTAAATGTTGTTGTTTTTGTTTTTTAATAATTGAGTTTCCATATTGCATTGGACAATAACAAAATAGGCATAAGCTTTAAGTAAATTAGTACCACACTATGAAATTCCCTTTTCTTGGCTCCTGTGTTGAAAGTCTTTGTTATTTTTAGTACCAAAGCAGTATCTTTGACAATCTACTATGAACTAGGCCTTAATTAGATTCTGGGAGGCTCGCTTCAGCTTAAAATATTCATAGTAGATTTCAACATTCTGAGATCTGAAAGTAGCATGTGTAGAAATATGACATGGAAACATCCATTTTAAGTTAAAAATATTTCCAAATTTTGTGGAAAAGGGCTTTACATATTAAATTTCAATGGAGGTCAAAGTAAATATAAATGTGGGCCATGTTCTGTGATTTTGTCAATGAAGTGTAAAGATATGACCGAAGATCACGTGCCACTGAAAGAATAATTTATATAAAATATGATAGTGCTGTGTGATAAAAAATACTGAAATGAACCTGGCACTCTTTCTACGAGAAATTGTTAAGTTATGCCATACTTACTGGATTGTAACAGCAACAGCAATGACTGTGAAGCACACGACTGAGACAAAGATAGCTATGGCCACCAATGTAATTTTTGATAAATCACCGTCAACCAAGCTGTGCGTCTTCATGAACTTTTCCCCACACCGTTCACCAAAGTAATATGGATGACATCTGTGAACAACCCACATTCCAAATTACAGCAACAGTCATTTAATTCTAACATTAAAAAATTAAGTCATGCCTTATATGAGAGGGGACCTCGCCTAAGAAAAGGAATTTATTTGTAAAAAACTGTGTATTTATTCTTACATGTTTAAACTCCAGTTACTCTCAAAGTACTCTCCTTTTGATGTAATATACCTATCGAGATGTTTTTTCCATTGCTCTAAACAGTTTTTAAATTCATTGACTATGATGCTTTTTAGTGCTCCTGTTGTTTTTTTGTTTCGCCTTTTCCACATGGGCAAAACGTTTCCCTTTGAGGACTTTTTTCATTTGGAGAAACCAGAAAAAGTAGCTCAGGGTGAGATTGGGTAAGTCGAGAGGATGGGCACAGGGGTCATGCTGTTTTTGATCAAAAACCGCTGAACATTCAGTGCAGTGTGGGCAGGTGCACTTGAAAATTACCCATCATGAAATGGGCAAAAACGCTAAAAGAGTCTTCAAAAAATACTGATGCCAAATGCAGCCTATCACAGTAACACCAGTTGGTACCTAGATGGGTTCCTAGAACACTTACCTAGCAACAGAAGCTAGGGGTTGTAGGACAAGGGGCCGGCCTTCTAGATAATAATTGTGAGTTTTTTGGGGTCCCTCTCATATTAGTACCTCAAAATCATGAGATAGAATGTATTCAAGCTAAGGATCCATTCGTATAAGATGAAGTTGAGATTAGTTTAGGTATGACTCTCAGAAGACAGACTTTTACATTCTCTGTGCTTCTTTTATGAGCAGCTGAGTTAAGTGACTCGTTAGGCAGCTAACACATCCACTATCATTTCATGTGCTAGCAGCTTTTGGGGGGAGGATGATAGAACAGTATTATGTGAAAAGTATTTTTCACATAAAAATTTTTTAAAAAAGTTTTGTAAAACCTATGTTGTAAAATGATTTATATTAGTGGTCAGCCAACTACAGTCCATATGTCAAATGTGGCCATGTCAGGTTTTTTTTACAGTGTACAAGCCAAAAAATGGCTTTTTTATTTTTAAGTGCTTACCTTTTAATTATGTTATATAAGCACACACCTAATCTTGACCCAGGAAGTCTAAAATATTTATTATCTGATTGGTCGTTGAAGAAAATGTTTGCAGACCCTTGGTTTATACATGAAAAAAATAAATGGTTTTCTGGCACTAGGAGTTTCAGATATGGTGTTAGAACTACAGAATTCTACATAAGTTAGACAAACTTACTTGCACATTACTGTTTTCATGTCCTCTCTATATACACAGTCTCCATGAATGCAGAAATTTTTAAATTGTGAACGACATGGATTTTTCTGTCTGTTTCTTTTTCTTCCTCCTTTTTTCTTTCTTTTGGGTTTATCTGTAGTGGTTTCACCTTCTGTTTTGTTTTCCTTGGGCTTAATCACCTGTTCAACTAAAAAAAGATTTATTAATATTAATAACAATCTCTTTATCTTTAATATCATTTTGGAGACATGAGAGAAATCCTAGCAGTTGAGAGCTCATGGGAAGACAACTATCTTTGTCTCATTATTTAACACAATTCATACACAATAATCAGACAAAAAAGAATATCTGTACTGTGTGACCCTTATAAATCTGAACCTCTTTGCTACCTTATTAGCTTAGAAACACATTTTGAATTTATTCCTATCAGTATAGTTATTATTGTTAATATGAGTTACCTAAAAAGATCCATGAAATACTTAAAACAGTTTTCAGATTTCTAGTACATACCAAATTCTTAGTAATGAGTATTAATTAAATTAAGGCTGAGTCACAGTGGACTGTGTTGTTAACCAGAGGATATAGATGAGAACACTGCAGTTGAGTGAAGACAGGTAATTTGCCCTAGAACATGCCGCTAAAAGAATATGTTTTCTCTCGGAAAAGGTCAATGCCTTTGATTAAAGTGGCAGATGGGCATATTTGTGAAAATCAGTCCGGTGGCTCATGATCACTATCATAATTAGAAATGAGTATGCATTACCCAAGGGTGGAAAAAGCTGAAACTTACATATTAGGGTTAATCAATTTTCTCAATGCATTATAATTAACCAATACCTTCCAGGGATTCATTTCTGTGGTCAATGTATTTGAAAAATTTTGAGTCCAGATATATTTGTACTTAATGCTTCAGAGATTCATCAACTTTTCATAGCCACAGAAATGTTTGAACTATAACGTGCATAACTATAACACTGAACAAACATTTCTGTATAGTTCAGCCACATGCTCAATATAGGAAGAAGGAGCTTCCATGTTAGAACTGTGCATTTTGATATATTAATCCCTGAAGAGGTTTATCTGAGCAAGTATTTAGCAAACAGAGCTCAATGAAAAGAGGCGAATGTCATAATCCCATTAATCATAGTGGTCCTGCAGTACCCATTAAATAGAAGACAGGAGAAACAAAGGGCAGGGTAACCAAGATTAAGGAAACAATAAATAAATATTATAAATATATTAGGTGATTTTTATCAACATTAACAACAGTCAAATTAGGAGCAATCTTTAGTAGGTAGCTATGCAATTTTTATACTGAAACTGTCTTCTGATGATAAAAGGAGTATCACAAGTTAAAATAAGTCCTGTAATTAATACATTTTAAATAGCTTTTATGGCATTTTATCAAACATATTAAAAATTTTAGACAGAGACAAATAAATAGTCACTACATTGAAGTGCTAAAATAAACATTAACTCCTTAGGTTTAATAGCCTTTCAAAGGAGTTCAACCAACACTTTAACTCTATTACAAAATGCACATCTGTGAATTTCCAGAAGATGTTATTATTGAGCTGACAACTGGGATTTGGAGTTAAATTGTGATTTTAGCTATATAAAATTCATGCACATCTGTAATATTTCCAGATGTTATTATTACCAGTTTCTCAACACCCACTACTTAGGCTAAAGCCCAGTTGCTCCCTTCCCATCCCTTCCTCTGCTCCCTTACTTGTGTGAGAATGCAGTGGTTTAGGGAGGAGTGCTGGTGGGAATGGATGCAGAAGCTGAGATATAAAGTAGATAGGATGCCTGGTGATCACTTTCTCTCATAATGGGAGTCATGCAGCACACTGGGAAAGAGCATAGTATATGGAATCGGACAGACTGGAGTTCTCATTCTGGCTTGTCTGCTTGCTGGCTGTGGAACTTCGGACAGGACACTGAACTTCAATAAGCACATCTCTAAAATGACATTTCCTATGTCATAGAGTTGTGGAAATTAGACTTAGCAGACATAAAACAGAAGTCCAGACATACAGGATGTACCCACATGCAGCTATTCCATTTCAGTTTGTAGCTTACTTAGCAGTAGATGCAACAGGCATACACACGAGAAAGCCACTGGGAGATCCAGGAGTGGCTTTTCTTTTGAATTCATTTGCTCATACAAATACATATCATGAAGAAGACATTTTTGCCTTATCCTCTACTCACCTCTGACTAAATCATCTATGATATAGCCAGATATTTGTGACTCAAAATCATACTCTTCTGCATAGTCATAGTTGATCCCCGAAGACAGTTCGCTATCCGAAGGCATCTCACTCACAGGAGATACCTCACTTCCCGAGGACATCTCACTTCTTGAGGTCACCTCAAATCCATCAGCACTGTGGTCCCCAGAAAACGGTTCCCCTTTCCCAGAGTAGGGGTCATTACCCTCTGATCCAGCAACATGACGAACTATGAGAGAAGGAACAAGGGAAGAAAAGGTAAAGCAGAGTTTCTTTCTCACCGTCAGCTGTGTTCAGGAGAAATGTTTATCTTCTGATATCAAAGCAGTTATTGCACATGTGCCATTGTGACTGACTCACTTATGAAAGCAACTTCAGTTTGCCAACAAGCAAAGTCAGCTGTTCCAATTACAGAGCTTCTTTCATCCAGTTTAATTCTCCCCAGATAGTCTACATTAATTTCCATATCAAAAATATTGCTAAATAGGCAAATTAATCTAATATACATAATTACTTAATAGGCACTGTCTAAATATCCCCATCTCTTCACATACCAAATGCATTGGTGTCGCTAGAAGGCCACCAAGTCCCATTATGTCTAGAACCATAGACAGTGGGTTCCGGACATAAATACCGGATATCCTCAACTCCTGCTCCCATCTTACAAAGACTAGGTACATAAAATGTAAAAAGAAATATAAAAGGTAGTTGATAATGTTTCTTACTGTCATTTTCCACTATTATTGCTCTTAATTGAGAAAAAGCTGGGAACTAGGTAAGGTTTGGGGTCCAGAGTATCAAGCCCCTGCTTTATCCTTTAGATCTCAGTAACACTTCAGCCTGGGAGGGCGCGAGGTCCTCTGCGAAGGTAACCGCAGAATCCCTCGGCGGGAGAATTGAGGCAGGTGGCAGCACTCGTGGGTGCAGGACTTAAAGACTCTCGGATCTGCGGAAATCCCTTCCCCTCTCTGGACCTCGGCGTCCATCTGTAAAGCGAAGGGTTTCGGTCACAGGATCTCTAAGGTCTCCTCCTCCAGACGAACTCACGTGCGAGGTTCCCTCGCGGCACCTTCTTCTTGGCCTGGAACCTCTGGGATACCTGCCCACTTTTCTCCTCCTCCCAGGCACCAAGTAACCCTAGAGCTTTAGGGAGATAGTCACCGTGAGGCACCACTCGCGGAGCAGAGTCGAGGACCCCAAAGGGATAGTTTTTTTCCCTTTCTTTTGTTTTGAGAAGCTGCCGCAAAACTTAGGGCGACCGCTTTTGCTGGCGGAGGGGGAAGCGCCGGCAGGGCCGAGCCGGGCTGTTCTCACCTGAGCTGAGGATCAGCAGCGACAGCACGACCGGCGCCGTCCGCAGCAGCAGCGGGGCTCCCATTGGTCCCTCCGCGCCGCGGCGTCGCGGTCTCTGGGGCAACCGGGCCGGGAGCTGCGGGGATGGGCACGAGGTGGAACACGGGTGGACCGGAGCGAGTGAGGGCGCACGCCCGCCCCGCCGGGCTCGGGCGCTGCGGGCAGCGCCTGGAACTCGCCTCGAGTTTCCTGGGGTCCGGCTCCGGCGCAGGCACAGGTGTGCGACCAAACTGGAGGCGCGGCGCTCACCTGCCGTTTTATAGCGCGGGTGCGGACCCAGGCATCACTGTGACGTCACGGCCGCCGTGGGTGGAGGCGGCCGCCGCCCTAGAGGAGTTACTGCCCCAAAACCGCACACGGATGTCGGATACCCCGCCTTCCTCGCGTGTGGAGAGCTAGAGTCTTTGGGAGGAAAAGAAAATTAACCCCCTAGCTGCAATCTGAAACAAAAACAAAACAAAACAAAAAAAACCCCACCAGATGTATATTTGAGGGCGGGAGTGGAATTTGGGGGAGGACCTAGTTCCTGACAAATAGTCCCAATTTTTCAAATTCTTTGAAAAACCTTCATATGGTTGCTTTTAATAATGGCGATTAAATGGAACAGTTCTATAGTATGATATAAAAGTACTTTAAGACCAAGAGTGATTTAATGATAGACCAACGTATTTAATAACAAGGTTAAATGAAAATCAAGTGACCAGAGAGCGCAAACCTCCTCAGGAGCTATTTCACATATGATTTTTAGGTTTGTATCTCAACCAAGGGCCCTTGCCCACTCACTATTATGAAGTAGAGAGAGATTCAAACCACCATCCTTCCCATTGCTTTAGGTGGCCCAGGGCGCTCATCAAAATCAACATCTATTAACCTTTTATTTTCGCCACACTATACATTTAAAATATTGAACCATCTCCTCACTAACCTTGCTGGATAAGTAGAATCTTCCCTATTTTGCAAGGAGGACAAATGGCAGCTTTACAGAACAAGGACTTTACACAGTTGGTCATGGCCGAAGCCAGGTAGATTTAAATACAAGGTCATCTGACTCTAAAACTTCTTTCTACTCTGATAAAAGAATTTAGGCTAAATCGATCTTTGAAAAGAGAGTTTCTGAAAAGATCACTTGGTGTACAGAAATAATCTTTCCTGGTAGCATACTGGCATTTGGAAGGGTGGTACCCCAGACTGCGCCCTTCATTTTTTGTTTTATCCTCACCCTGGGATATGTTTTCATTGTTTTTTAGAGAGAGAGAGAAGGGAGCGAGAAACATCGATTGATTGATGCACCCAGACAAGGATGGGGGTCGAACTGCTCCACCCAGCCAAGGCTGAATGGGCAACCTAGGTGTGTGCAGGGACTAGGGATTGAACCCTCAAGCTTTCAATTATGGGATGAGCCCCCAGCCACTGAACAGCGTGGTCCAGGGCAAGATTGTGCCTTTCAAACTCCAAGATAAAAGAGCCAGCTTTAAAGGCCCATTTAGAACGTAGTAGGGCATTAAATCAGAGAAGTAGATAAAACGAAAAGGAGAGAGCTGCTTAATTTGACTAACCTTGGTGCAGAAACAACCCCAGAACTGGATTTTCTTGCCTTGAGGGAGGGTAAAAAAACGTTCTACACGTTTTCTTGTCCTGCAGTTACATGTCTTCCCTGATGGTTCCAGTAAAGCGGCCTTTATAGCAATGTGAGTCCTAATTCTGAGAAACCTTTTGAAAGCTACTTTTTAATGGCATATCATAATACCATACCAAATAGGCTAAATAATACCATACATGAAGTAGGATGAAATAAACAGTCATAACTCATGCCTACTCTCCTATTTAACATTTGTGGAGAGCATATTTTGTGGGGGTGGGGTCAGTAAAGAGGGAGATTAAATGGTGACCTGCTTCCTGCCATCCAGGAGTCCAGTGTGGTGTGGGGCAGATAGAAAACTCATCCTGTTACATCAGATAAGAATTCGGAGTGCAATGGAAAATAAGGATGCGGTTCAATTGTGCCCATACGTATCATGAAAAGCTCTGTAGAAAAATGGAGGAGCCACTCAGTGGTTTTCCCAGCTGAAAATTTAAATGGAGAGTATAACTGATGGCAAGGTGTGACCCAGAATGGCCAATAAGACTTGAAAGATGACACTGCCCATTCAAGAGTAGAGCAGGCCTGCATTGTCATCTATGTTGGCTGATGAGGCAATTGTGATTCAGAGATTCAGAGCTGGCCCACAGATTTCAAAAGGTGGTAGAGATTTTGTTTAGAGGTCAGAAAGTTTTCCACTTTCTGCTACCACAGATTTTCATTTTGTTTTAATCCTGTTCCTGCCCTTTCTTGTGCTTTCTTCTTATGGAGGTAAAAGCAAGTTGTGCATATCTGTCATGGAAATGTTTTACTTTGAAGTGAAAGTGAGCTCTTTTGATTGCAAATTGCTTTGTCTTTTTATGATTAGGAGTTTAGAGGGCAATGATTTGCCTTGGTGTGGAATATAGCATAGCATCACAGGGTCATGCAATGCTTAGTGCTTGGTATGAACTTTAGACTCAAAACAATTGGATTTTCATACATAAATACCACCACATGCTAAGTTACTTAATACTCAAAAGACTTGGATTCCTCATCTGAAAATAGGAATAAAGATACCTGTCTGCCTCTAAACAGATCAAAGGAAATAAGATTCCTAAACAAGTAGCATCGATCCTAGCATTTGGTGAGTGCCCAAGAAATGGTAACCATTATTACTAACCAAGACATTATGATAGTTATATCATATTAATCACATTAAAGAATTAAAGTAACTCATAAATGGAGCTACTCACACATCAAGTGAAATAATCCTCTTCAGTATTTTCAAGCCATGAAATTTATGCCTACTTCACATTAAGGCTAACCATTCTAATCATTTTACAGTGCATCATAGAGTAACATGGAGCATCATAATTGAATCACAATGGCATTATCACTTGATGACTCAGAGGATTCTGTAATATATGCATGAGAAGAAAACCAATCCCATGTAAGTGTGGGGTTCCTTGCATTCTGCATGTTAAGCTGAGAGAAAGAGGAGAAATTCCATCCAATAAAGTCGAATAGAAAAACAATTCTTTATCCTGGTAAATTGATGGTTACTCACCTGGTATGAGGTTAAGGGCAGCCCTGAAGGCAAATGCTCCTACCTAACCATTCATTTTGGTGCCTTGTGTCTGGATCCAGGTAATATTTAATACCTATAGTGGAAACAAACTCTTTTTTAAAATTTTTATTTATTTTTTATTGATTATGCCATTACAGTTGTTCTATTCCCCCCTTCATTCCCCTCCACCTTCCCCCCGTCCCCACCATTACCCCCTTTAGTTTATGACCATGTGTCTCAAGTTCTTTAGATTCTATATTTCCCATACTATTCTTGCTCCCCCCATCTATTTTCTATCTACTGTCTATGCTACTTATTTTCTGTACCTTCTCCTTCTCCCGCTCCCCTGTTGCTAACCCTCCTTGAGATCTTCATTTCTATGTTTCCACTCCTGATCTAGCTGTCATTTTAGTTTGCTTTTGTTTTAGGTGTGGTTGTTAATAACTGTGAGTTTGCTGTCCTTTGACTGTTCATGTTTTTTTAACTTCTTTTTCTTTAGGTAAGTCCCTTTAACATTTCATATAATAAGGGCTTGGTGATGATGAACTTCTTGAATTTGATCTTATCTGAGAAACAAACTCTTTTTGACCATGCTAAAAGGTGTGCTGTAGAACCAACTGGTAAGGATGTGTTTGTGCATACAATTGATCATACAATTGATCATGAATTTTTATGGATAATGTCAGCATCTGATTAAGTATTAATTATACCATAGGCACTTTTATTAGTCAATATACAACCAACACACTAAAATAAAGATATTTTCTAATGTATAAGTAACATTTTCTATATTATTAGCAAATGCTTTAGCTCCATTCAGATGTCCATTTCTACTTTTTCAGCTTGGAATTTCCCCATGCTAAAGAATATATGATTTATAGTTCCTTCAAAAAGAGGCCTTCATAAACTTGATTTTTGGGTACCATGGTATACTAGTAACATGAAGTTATTTGCCCTTTATAACCTTGACATAATGGCATTTGTAGACTAAGGACTAACCGATGAGGCTGAAGGTAGTGGATGATTTGATAGGATGGAAACTAAAAAAAAAATGTAATATACAATTAAGTACATTTACACACACATAACATGAATCCTCTAGTTCATTTATTCATCAAGTATATTTGGAGAACTAGATACTCTTCTAGAAACTGGGGATAGAACTTTGAGGAAGTCATAAGGTCCTTGTTTTTAAGGTCCTTGTATTCTATTAAGAGGAATCACATAATAAGCAAGGAACAGCACATAAAATAATTTTCAGTAGTAAGAGGTGCTAGAAGAGAAATAAAATATATGATATAGAGGACTTGCAACAGTGAAGAAAGATAATCTTTTAAAAAATACAAAATAGCCCTGGCCAGTTGGCATGGTTGGTTAGAACGTCATCCTATACATCTAAAAGACTGCGAGTTCCATCCCCAGCTGGAGCACATGGGAAGCAACTGATCATTGTTTCTCTCTCACATCAGTGTTTCTCTCTCTCTCTCTCTCTCTCTCTCCTTTCTCTTTGCCCCTCCTCCCTCCCTTCCTCTCCCTTTCATCTCTCTCTAAAATCAATAAACCCATCCTGGGGTGAGGATTAACAACAACAAAAAAGGAATACAAGAGAACCTCTATACTGGAGTAACTCACAGGATAAACAGATGGTAAAATAAAGCACAGGCTTATCCTATGGAACAATAATAACTGCATGGAAGAGCAGAGATATGCATAGACAGGAATGAGGGATAGAAATGGGTGCAGACAAGAATGAGGGATGTTGAACAGACAGAGTTCTTGAATTGGGCCTCAAAAATGCGGAGGGTTTTAGGAGATTGTAGAAAATTTCATTTCACTAATTGTTTTTTGAATACCCATCTTAGCACTGCTAGATGAGAGCTCTCTTTATTTGACTAAAGCTAAGCTCTTCTGCATCACTTTTTCAAATGTATATTCTGTTTTCCTCACTTGATTTCCTCAGTAGATTTGGGGTGGGGTCAGCGTCTGTATTTTTTTAAGAACTTTCAAGAAAATTCTAATGTGTACCTCTGATTAAAATCTACTCC